AGTAGTTATATAATATATGAAAAAAAAAAAAAGAGGGAAAAAAAAAAAAAGAAAAAAAAAAAAAAAAATTACTACAATATTTTCAAAAAAAAAAAAAAAAAAAAAAAAAAAAAAAAAAAAAAAAAAAATTGTAATAGGTGTTCATTGAACGTTTCAAAGTCAAAAACTAAACTAATCACTAATGTCATAAATCACCAATGCTACATACTAAAGTATATGCAAGAAATATTAAGTTGAGTCAGATTCAAAGCTTTAAAAGAAAGAAAGAAAAAAAAAAGTCTTTTTGTGAAGAATATAGTCCGATACATTTGAAAATAAAGTCCGCCGAAGAAAAACGAAAATAATTCCCAACCTTTTTGTCAATTACACGCTCCGATACTATTCACTGATATTAATAAGAAAATTACATGAAGCCCCGTACGTACATTATTCACACACCACAACTAGTTCAATAAAATTTTGTTTGTGATTATAAACAAATGTTACAAAAGTCTCTCCCATAGACGCTATTTTTAATCGTAGACATTGTTTCGTTTTTTGGGGTTTTTGTTTTCTTTTTTTTTTTTTTTTTTTTTCTTAAAAAAAAAAAAAAATGTTTTGAAAGTCCATGCAGATAATTAAGCAAAAGAAAGAAAAGGAAATCCATCCGAACGTAAGAAACACCCGGAAAAAATGTTTTGGAGCCAAACATGTGACAACGTGATGATGTCGCCCAGCCCTTCACATCTACCTAGACCCAGATTATTGTTTCGGTGCTAAAGAAAGAAATCGGTAATACTATTGTTTTGCCTTTTTTTTATCTGGTTCATCGCTCTCGTCCCCGTCCGTTGGCGCAGAGCGTCCTTTGGAGTAATTTGAATTGTTTTCATGTTGCTTTGCCAATGGCGATGGTTGATATGCGTTTGTGGCACGGGGGGGCCACGGAAAGGCGATAGGATTGGCGCTAGTAGGTGTATTTCCGAAAGTAAGGGGACTAGGTAGTTCGGTTGTCTTGTAGAACTCTGAAAAGAAAGTTGATGGTGATGGTAAGTTTTGTGCAAACTGTGACGGTAAAGCAGAGGTCGGACCAGCCTCCGCAGTGGCCGGCGTAGGACGGGAGGATAACATCTTGAAAGACGTGCGTTTTAGAACGGGAAAATTATTAGTACGCGATAACAGCAAGACGAGATGATTAAAAATTTCAGGAGAACTCACTGGCTGCGTTGAAACCGGTTGAGTGTCCGAAGGAGTCTCTTCTTGTTCGGGGGACTGATCTTGCCGGGTTGGTTGTGGTTGCTGATTTGCACCGGGAGCAGGTTGTTTCTCTTTAACTTCTGGAATATGAACTCGAAGTTTTGGCTTCTTTGGTGAAGGTGATATGAGTGAAGGCGACAGGAGATCACCACTGATGGAACCATCAATATCTGGAGAGGCTTGTTGAGACATGGTTATGCTAGGTGCATTGGAATTCGTTAATTGAGCTGAAGGTGCTACTGATGCGGGGACATTCATCGGTACAGGGTTTGCGGCCGAAGACACTTGCATTGGCACCGTGTTCATAGGAAGACTCATGGCAGCCATCGATTGATGCATCGTCTGGGGAACCTGTGGGTATAATTGTTAAGTCTATATTTGTAAATAATCGTAATGGAATCAAAAAAAAAAACTGACATCGTACCTGTTGAACCATGTACTGATGCGGAGGTTGTGCATACATATAATTATTCATCTGATAATTGCTACTGACTGGTGCAGTTGCAGGATAATTTTGCTGTGGGGAGGGCATACCATATTGCTATTAGTTTTTGACGATTATAAATGGGTAAGTGGATAAAATTACAGGGGTGGAAAATGTTGATGGGTGTGTCCTCGTTTTTTGCGCACGACGCGCGTGTGCGAGTTAACAAACCTTTGAGTCGGTAGTGGTGTCAAATCCTGGTGGAGGGTTATCATCATCATCATTATCAGCTGTATTGGCAAACTAAAATTGTTTTGTCCGAATTAGCACATCGAAGAGGACATCAATTAATCCGACGAGAATCTCGAGATCGCTTCTTACTTACATCATGATTACCTTTACTTTCATGAGGTTCGTTGTACTGTTTGAAGAAAAAAAAAAAAACAAAAAAAAAAGTCAGAACCAATTGACGAGTCGATTTAATCCATAATATCAAAGCAATGCTAATAACGATAGGCATCCAACATAGAAAAGCCTGATGTCAAAAAAAAAAAAGTATGCATCAAGAAGACGACTTGGTAATCTCTCCCAACGACAATCTCCTTGAATTCCTGTAAATACGAACTGAAAAAGAAATAAAGAAAAAAAAAAAAAGGAGAAATGAGAAGAAAAAAGCGATTACCTCGGTATACTTTAACAGGATCTTGTCAATGTCTGTACTCGCATACTGCACGAGTTTATTGTTGGAATTAAAGATAATCAAGGCGATTTCACAATCGCACAATACACTGAGTTCATACGCCTTCTTCATGAGTCCATATTTTCGTTTTAGGAAGGTCACCTGTGTCAAGGGACAACGAAACACGGAACAATGTATCATTAGAAGAATACATAAAATTGATTTGGATGGATGGAGGAAGAAAGAAAGAAAGAGAAAAAAAAAAAAAAGAGAAAGGGAGATAACGAATTAAGAAGGAAACCCATGACTACCAGTATTGTATAGAGGAATAATGAAACAACTACGTGAAATTGAATTCAAATGAAATTGTCCTCAATTCAGAAAGTAGCCAATGGGTTGAAAAATCGATTGACAAGGTGGAAGATGTTACAACTTACTTGACGATTTCTTTCGTCTTTAATTGGCTTAATCTGGATCTTTTTGCGGCCCATTATTTTCTCGTTTAAACTAAAGGCATTGGACGGCAAACAAAAAAAGGCAACGAGTGCCGTTAGAAAAAATATATTCTACGAGAATTCATTCTTTCGCGGAAAATGTGACTGACATGCCGAGGTCAATGACGATTTCGGATAAGAAGGATGATATAAAAAAAAAGAAAAAGAAAAGAAAAAGGAAAAGAGAAAAGAAAAAGAGACTCGAGGAGAAAGACTGAACTGACTAAACTAGAGAAGGGACCTCCTTCACGCACCCGAGATGGCAATTAAAGAAAGCGCACACTCACTTTTTAAGATAATAAAAGCAGGAGCACGTCAGTGAATAGGTATGCTGAGACCGCCTGGTTTTTTTCTTTTTTGGCGATTGCGGCGGCGACAAAGGTTTGTTTTTAGAAAGGGAATAACTAATTGTAACTTCGTTCGGGTTGATTGGTGGAAGAAGAAATTTTTTTTAGGACGCGTTTGTGTGAGTCTGAGTTATTCTTGGCTTTGTTCTTTTTTTACCACACTGTGCAAGCAACCGCCGACGCCCAAAAAAAATGTATATTAATGTATGCGAGTATGTGCGATAAATAGGATTACTTTTACGTAATAGATGTTCTATGAATAGAGACACCGCAGAAAAAGATATTTATTTATCTTACCTATCAAAGAAGGATGGTGAAAAAGAAAAAAAAAAAATGAATCCAAAAATCTGATTTTTTTCCTGTGTGGAGATGTGCAAGAATAGCATCGAATTTATAAATAGCGGTTGTTTTTGTTGCTATTTAAATATCATCCAAATAATCATAGGGAATGCCTGGATCGATTTTGGTGCTGGAATATAAAAAAAAAAAAAAAAAAAAATTATTGTTGATCAACAGCATCAGCACTATGTGAAAAAAAATTGTTAATACAATTGATGTCAAAAAGTAATTATCGTTTGATATTAATAGATTAGTGTAATTATTGATAATTATTATAAGAAGCAATCATCATTATTGTTATTGGGAGTTGCTGACGACGGTGCAGGTGTTCGCGCGGCGATGGTCAGGTGAGATGCGTAATAACAACTTTGATGTTGCACGGTCGGTTGCAAGTCTCACGTAAAAGGGAATGAATTGATTATGTGAAAATTTTTTTTTTTTTTTGTGCGCTTGTGCCATTTAATAACTGATGGTGGATCGAGAGGGCAATGCAGATTGTAACATTTACAACATTTACGCAAATAAATTGTACGTGCGTAATAATTGATATTAAGCAATGAATCTGAGAATGCAAATACGACGAGCGATCCTGTGAAATGCTCTTTGTCGTCGTCTTCCCTCAACACATTAATGTTGACGGGAAAAAATAAATAAAATGAAACAGAATACGACGGTCCCACATGAAATGATGGCCAAGGGTTTCTCCTTTTTTGGTGGGTGCGTGCATTTCAGCACTTCTAAAATAAGACTCCGGAAGAGAGCACTCTGCCCAAAAGGGGCTAGCGGAAGAACGGGGTCATATAGATTTGACGTGAATTATACAATAAAAACGGATTTATTGTGGTGTTCATGTGTCTGAATGAGATCGGAAAAGAGAATTCTTCGCCCTTCCGTTCTACTGTTCATTTCTGCTACCGTCATACAAATTTCCAAATTTGTGCATCAAGGAACATCCCGTATCGATGCCCTTATTCGGCCGTCCTGATGACCGTCCTCCTATTCGCGGTTAAAAATATCAATCCTGATACACCATCCTGTATAATAATGATGTACATAATTATATCTCCCATGGATATATTAAGAAACGTTCCCGCAAGTGACGCACTTTAATCTAACCAACGTGGTACAACGAAAATCCGCGGAGCATTACGCATGCGGGAGACCGTGAAAATACTGTACACACGAATGACAAAAAAAAAAAAAAAACGGGTGATTGTGTTGACTTAAAAAAAAAAATATTGGGTTTGGTTCGGTCCACTGTGATGAATTCAATGATCACATCCGTCCTCTTTAAAAAAGAATTCCCGAAGATCCGTGCCTCCTTTTCCTTAATTAATCTGTGCCGGCAGAGTGGTGGCAGCCCATTCAACGACGATCACGATAACTGCACATCGTAATCCAAAAAAGTCAACAATCTTGGCAATTGCTGTTTTGGTCGGGTAGCGTTCCCGAGGACGAAAACAAGAATGTGAAATCTTCTCGCCGTTTCTCATGTTAATAGAATGATACGTACGCGTGTCAAATATGTTGCAAGGTCTCAACGATTGGTTCTTGCGCGTATTCATACGTCTTCGGAATAAACTCATCGATGGTTTATGACTATCAACCGCTGCAGGGATAAGTGTGATACGTGGGCGCATGAAAATCAAAAACAAGGAAATCCAATTGCGATAGTGTTTTTTACAGGCTAAACAAAATATTGCAATTGTTTTCCCTCCATAAGGAATCACACGATTATTATTCTTTTTTTCGCTGGATTTTTCTTTTTTTGTGTATCATCACAAATCTGGATCTTCATTCAAGTTTTAAATGTGGTGGTGAATAAAACGGAAATCGGGAACATCCCAACAAAAAAAGCCTCCGATTGAATTCGTTCATCATGACACGTTCAAATGTCCCAAGACGGAAAAGAGCAAACGAGAATATTGTACCAATGACGACTCTCCACCCGTCATGCCACCAATGTATACATGCACGGTAAGGAAATAAAACATGCAAGGAAGTAAATTCCACGTACAAGAAGGTGAGGCTTATTCGCAACAATGGAATGGATCTCCGTAAGAAGAAAGTATGCGCTTAAAGGATCGTACGTGGCACGCAAATTAAGGTACGTCATGTCGAGGAGTCTTGGGGAACCATTAGAAAATTGAAAACACGTTTTACGTCGGGATAAAGTTATAAACCCTAAACAAGCTTTATTATGACACTTCTAAATCCCCTGATTTTCCGTTTTGGTCTTAAATTCATGCATGCAAGCACACTGAGATTCTTCTTTTCGACACCCGGATTCTTTGTTTCAAATCATTTAACATCGAGAAACAAGATCCATGCGTAATGCGTATTCGCACCACTGCTTACCAGTAAACATGCATCGATAACGATTGCTAATGCAATTCACCCTCTAATTATGTATCCATTCAGGTGCCGCATGCTCACCATACGTCAGGAACCACCGGAAGGTTTCAGGATGATGAGTGGTGAACGATGAATTCCTAACGCTACCATCCTCCTTGTTCAATTTCCACGGATAATAATATCACCATGAATTCAATCGGTCCAGGAATCATGGTGCCTTGCCATTATTGAGTGCGTCGTTCATATGCTGCGTGCGCCGTCACTTGCCAATCTAGTTGATCTAATCGATTGTTTTTTAAAGTTGCAACGAGAAACCTATGAAAGTAATCGCTAAAGATGACATCATTTTTTTCAGATGCAATACCAATTTGCAAATTTATAGTTACATTTATACTGTACAATGTATTAGTGAAAAATTATAATCTTTTGTCTTATCCTTAATCAGGTTAACATGGGAAGTTTATCAAATTTGTCTTACATAATAAAAAATTATTTGATGCATATATTGTGTACAAATTATTATAATATGGACAATTGCTTATATACAGTATAATTCATGAGTTTTGATGATACAGTAATATAATTTTATTAAATATTATAAAAAATCCATGGTTTAAAATTAGTTAAAAATAAAAACTTTTTTTCAAATTTCAAATTATTTTTATTCTTAAATATAAATTAAAAGATTTTAAATAAAAAAATTTTAAAATTTTTTATATATAGATATTTATTTTTGAAAATATTAAAAAAATATATATTTAAAAATCTGTAATCAGATCAACATAATATATCTATTAATCTTTATAAATATACATAAGACAATTGTATTATAACTAAATTAAATCTTATACTAATTCACTTATCAATGGTTTTTAATTCTCAAATAAATTTCAA